TGTAACACCCGACAGATTTCATTTTATGGACCTTGCGTTTTAACATCTATCTATCGGTCTACAACGATTGTGTTTTTTTATACCAAAAATAAATGACCTTATTTGTACATATTTCCATTGGATCACAATGTTATTTGCATTGCCATTAATTGATAGCGAGAGCCTGAAGGCCCGGGATACACATATATGTATAGAAAACATTTGCTTTGCTCCGCCCACTTTAATGGTACCTACCTTCTCCGTTTTAGGACCTTGGGACACTTGGTTCTCGTGAAGAAGCAATAAGAAAAGTTGGACTCATAACATAATTTCCTTGACAAAATGCGGTAAATATGGGTGGTCCAATTTAGGAAACAAAAAATATGTTAGATTGAGCTCGAAGGGCATTTGTGTAACCCCCAAGTGCTGTAGATTGTTTTATAGGGCTGAGAATTTTTCGGATTGGGATCAGATCCACCCAGATACAAATCCAGATCAAAAAATATACATGTATGTGGATGCGGATCCATAATGTTTGGATCCGGATTTGAATCCAAAACTTAAATCTAGGTCTGATCTAGATCCAAAAAGTATACATAGAATTTGGATTAGGTCTTCTAAAAGTATAAATTTATATATAAATTAATAGATCAATATTATATATAGGACCCGGTTTCTATGCGGCCAAGCTCGCATATGTAGAAATGTGGGCCTTTTAATAAATTTATTCTTGAGATGGATTTTAAGACTTAATTTTTAAGGACATGTAATATCTAACATGGAGATCATGAATATGAATAAATAAATAAATTTTAAAAACATTTGGGCCGTCAGTTTCCATTGTTTTTAGATGGAACACCTATTTGCATACATCTTTAAGATGGATGCTTTACACTTTCTAGATTGCATATGTAGGAATGCGGTCCAGCCCGCATGAAACAATTTTCCTTACACACACATTAATATTTAAAAAACTGAGTCGGATCTAGATTGCATCCACTTACTAACCCAAAATCTCACCTCTCTCGAGGAGGCTATGTCTATCTCTTGGAGACTTATCTACTTCTCGGAGATCCCTTCTCATGACCCAAAGGTGTGACCCTTCGAAAGATGTGTATTATGTCTTTTTCACCCTTTTTTTATAGAGATCACTAGGGTTTCTTTCTTGCTTCCTAAGAAAGCCACAATTACTTTTTACTATAGTACCATCAGACTTTGTAAAAATATAGGTGTGATGATTTTGACTATTACCAAACATAACATAAATAATTTTTAAAAAGCAAGATCCAACTGTCCATGAAATAGATGACCGGTATTGAGTTTTGGGGATGCCTTACATTCTTTTTTATGGACTATTTGTTGGGGGCGTAGAGAAATGTCTGCACCTAAGTTTGAGAGAGAGGACATGCTCTTAAATCAACCGAATATGGGAGACGGCATACCAATGTAATGATGGTCGGTGGGTCGACCCGACCCAATTGCAACCCCTATACTTTTACCAAAATTTTAAAAAATAAAATGAAAAAAAATAGCAATCCTTTTGACAAAAAGAGGGTCTTATTGCCCGAAAATGTAACTAATAATTTTCTAAGGGTAGACTAGAACCAAGGAGAGCATGTCTATTTATGTATTTTGCATATGTAAATTAAAAAAAATAAAATAAAATGTTAGGTCGACCCTTAACCTCCTTTACCCATAGCGATATATATTTACCACTGAAACAAAGCCAAAGGTACAAACCAACTCACTAAGAGAGTGTCTCCAAATTTGAACCCGACATTTGGGATGCCATTGAATTGTGGGTGGGAATGGGTTAGGTTAGGCCTTGGTAGTCCTGGACACAGACCCGACCTGGTTAGGTTCGTGGTAGACCCAAACCTGACTTAGGTCCAAGTTAATTGGACCTTGACCTGACGCATAGGGTTGGGTTTGGTCTAGGTTTGGGTCTAAAAAACTAAACATATAAAAAATCTATTATATATTTTGCACTATATAGTTATTATATGTAAATAACACATATCAATACCTGGTCGGGGTGACCCTAAACCAGGCCCAACCCGACCCATAAGGGTTAAAGTAGGTCTAGGTATGGACACAACAATAGTCAAGTGGACCTAAACCCAACTTATCCATACATACCTACACCGAGTCGGGTCAACCATCATGCCCACAAGTCGACCAACCAATTTTCCACCCCTACATTGAATTTAGCCGTGTTGTTATCTTATTCTCACTTTCCAAGAAAGTTGAAAGAAAAAAGCAAAGTGACCTTATCAAATCTATATAAATGGCTCAAATGATGACAGTCCGGATCAGATTGTTAATCCAAATTGGAATCAGCTGGGGCTGATCACTTCTGGGGAGGTATCGGTGCCAGAATGGTCACTCTAAAACCTCCTAAATCCCCCTAAATCCCCTCTACATAAACCCCTGTTTTCTTTTTTTATTTTTAGAAGACAATAACTGAGATCGATATAAAATATCAAAATAGTATCGAACTTAATAGCTTTCTAATTATGAATCCACCATCGATTCAATTCCTTGCAAATTGTTTTTTATTTGCATTATTTAAATTTTAAAGCTATTCTAGTAAAGTAAGGAAAAAGTTTATATAAGGTCGCAACCGTAAAATGTAGAATTACAGTTGTTTTAAAAAAGTTTATATAAGGTTGCAACCGTAAAATGTAGAATTACGGTTGTTTTAATGTCGAAAACCCTCTAATTGATCATCTCGACATTGAGATGTATGAATATGAAAAATATATATATATATATATCTTAAAAATAGTGCATCTTGCACTACATTATCTAAACCGTTTATTTTCAATATTTTCATATGTTTATAGATCTACTTGATTTTAACCATTTTTAGAGTTTAAAATTATATAACTAGATATAAAAATGGATTTTGAGATAATCCTAACATTTTTTTTCACTTAAATTACATGTTATGATAAAGTTTGGAGGTGTCTTAATTGAATTGTATAAGGTTGTAACCTTATAGAAACCGCACCCTTCTAGTAAAGTTATACATTTTCATTTGCTTTCAAAATGCGTCCATGTTGCACTCGTGTTGCCACAAGTAAAGCTTATATACCGTGGCCTTCATAAAAGGGATGGTATACATATTGTGCAGCACGAAGGGTAACAATTCATATTAAACCATGCCACATCTAACGGTTGAAATATTTTTTTATTTTTATTATTAATTTAAGAATTATTTTTACCAGAAATTTAAGGAATATATTTATTTCAACATAGCACATTAAAAAATAAAATAAAAAATATTTTTAATAAAATAAATTGATCAAAATATTTTTGAAATTTTTAATGGTATTCCAGTCAATTATTTATTAAAATAAATTTTTTTATTATTTTTATATACTGTGACTAAAAAGAATCTACGCCTTAAATTTTGGGTAAAAATATATTTTAAACTAAAATATCATAAAATAATAAAATTGTAGGGTGAGAATTGACCCGATCCAGATCCAAAACCTGGATTCCAAAACCTATTCGGATCTGGGTATGGACCCAAAATTTGGATCTGAAATCCAGATCAGGACCCAAATGTTAGGTTTGAATTAAAGTTCGGATCTGTGGGTAGGTGGATCCGATCAGGATCCAGCCCCGATACGACGCTGTCTCACGCCTATAAAATTGTATTTTAATCATTAGATGTGGCGTGGTTCAATTTGAAATGTAGGTCGATCCACATCATGTGAACGTGAGAGTTTCTGTTCATAAAAGGCTTTAATACATTGTAAGAAATTGATTTTACAATCATCAACTTATCATTGAATCCATCTTTTCCACTTTTCAGGTGGTAAATGCTTTTCAAAAACTGTAATAATAATCAAACCATGTTAGAAATGAAAGTGAGGTACTAACGGAAGTTCTTACCTTCTGAATAAGACTGATAGATAGATTGGGATACCAGCAAGTTCTTCCCATCTGAATAAAATGTACTAGGAAAAGAGCCTGAGCTTAATTTATTAGCTCTTGATGATTTGCAACGCTGTCTTAAGTTCAATTTTTAAAAACAGTAGGGCCCCTTCCTATGAAAGGTAGGATCCTCTCCCCCACATACTCACCCATAAAAAGAAAAGCAAAAAAAAGATGTATTCATATTTGAGAAAGCCTGAAAAGGATAACTACAAGTTTGATTTATGAGGTGGACCCAGCTTCTCCATAAGTTACAAACCAATCCTCTTTGCCTCGTATATTTCTTTTATTCATTAAGCTGCCGCAAGTGACAGCAACTTTAGAGAATTGGAGGATTCGGGTAGCATAAAATAAAGATTGTGGGAAATAATTTTCACCAAGGTAGTTAGCACATATAACTCATCCATAAGTGCCATTGTACACACATCACGGGAGCTTTGAAAGGTAGATATAGCGAAATGTGGAAGTGGAAATTACACTCTCTTCTTCTTCTTCTTTTCTTTTATTTTTTGTCTTTTTTTTCTTTTCTTTTTTTATTTTTTATTTTTTGTGTGTGTATTTTTGCTGCAGTTTTTAAAATTTTAGATAAAATACGAAATGCTCCATTTATATATGGGAATTACAAAGAAGGTCCAGGCAACCCATTTTTTTTTTTCAAAAACTATCCCTTGGTCAACTTGAATTTTGATTTTTTTTTCAGTTTTTTCGTTAGTAGGGCAATGTCTTAAAGCTTGGGTACTGTCCTACTAACGAAAAACTAAAAAAAACTAACAAGAATAATCAAAATTCGAGTTGACCAATGCGAAATTTTAGAAGTAAAAAAAAAAGACTTGGTTAACCGATCTTCTTTATAATTTCTGCAGATAAGCGAAGCATTTTATATTTTACGTAAAATTATGGGGTCCGCACATAAATCACTAAAAAAAAAAGGTAATAAAAAAAATAAGCCAGTAATATGTCCATCCTTTCAACAAGAAACTACGTACTTCACATTTGATGCTTTAAGTTACTATACTCCATTTCATTTTTGAAATTTAGGAAATTACAGTCTCACATTTGATGCTTGTGAGTTACTAAAATACATAGAATATCACTAGACTTTACATTTGAACACACACATAACCTTAAAGATTTCCATAAGGAGTACCGACTCTGCAATGACTATTTTTATTGCAGCCCTAAGAGACTCCTGTCTCTCTATTGAAGGTCTGGACCCTATTATGAGACCTAAAAACAGGACTATTTTTTTATGGAAAAGTTGAAACTCTTGGGTGGAAGGTAACTAAGAGGCCATGCTTCATGTACAGTGTGGTAGTGAGCTTAGGAACCACAGGATGGCCCTTCACGACATGCACAGAGTACCTCAAAAGGATGGAGGCTGCCACCATCTTCATCTGTGTATAAGCAAACTTCTTCCCAACGCAGAGCCTTGGCCCTGCATTGAAGACAGCATACTTGAACTGGTTTTCACTCACAAATGCACCATCTTTCATCCACCTCTCAGGCTTAAACTCACAGCAATCCTTCCCCCAAATCGATTCTATCCTCGCCATGGAAAAGACTGAGTAGATGATCTTAGCGCCTTTCTTGACGGGCGTCCCGTTTGGTAATATATCGTCCTCGAGAACTTCCTTGAAATCGATGGGCACAGACGGATACAACCTCAAGGACTCCGATAATGCAGCATGGAGATATTCCATCTGCTTTAATTCATCGGCCGTAAAGATGACATCGTTGAGATGTTCGGGACCCAAGTTATTTCTTCTTTTGATAATGGCTCGGATCTCGTCGAGAATTCGGTCTTCAATATGAGGATGCTCATGGAGTAGCCAGAAGAACCAGGCTAAAGCAACCGAACTGGTGTCTCGCCCTGCTAAAATGAAGCTTATGCAGAAGTCCTTCAAGAACTTATCCGAATAACATGGAGAATTATCATCGTTTCGCACCTGAATCAACCGTGTCAAAAGGTCAGATCGATCAAGAATGCCGCCACTCCTCTGACACTCGAACTTCCTATCTGACACCGTCTTCTCGGCAAACTTGTGAACCACCTTAATAACTTCTCTGAGCCGCCTCTCGGTGCCGATGTCAAAGTATTTCATGGGTTTCCACACAAAAGGAGGCACCAAGAACCTGAACAATGTGAGTTCAGTCGCCTGCTCGAACGCCCTCGCGAAGGGCACGTCCGGCAGGTCCAACCCCAAGCACCCGGGATCGACCCCAAACGCGGCCATGCATATGTTATCGAATGTAAACCGCAGGAAAACATCCTGTAAATCCACCATTTCATGGGACACTGCAAGCTTCTCGGTCAATTTAAGAAGCTTGTTACACACCAAATGCTCAATAGTCTTGAAAGAGAACTCCACAAATCTGCTAGAATGCATTTCAGCATTAGCCACCCTGCGCTGTTCTTTCCAAACATCATCATCTGCATTAAAAATGCCATCACCCAAGAAGTCAGAAAACCTCTCTCTGTAATACTTACCTTTTGGGAATTTCTTGAACTTGGATTTGAGAATGTATTCGAGGTTAGCGGGATCTACGGTCACGACACCAAAGAGGCGGCCAGGGCTAACGCCTCGGTAGGAGAAGGTGCCTCCGCTCTGTCGCGAGGCATTAGTGGCCCATGCATAGACGTTGTCTATGTGAAGGATGAAGGAGGGTACAACGCCGAGGAAGGGCCATATAATCGGGCCCTTGTGGCGGAGCCTTTGGGAGACGCCGCTGAAGATGAAAAGGCCGAGCAAGGCCACTGCCAAGTCCCATAGCCGAACCTGTACTAACAGGTCCACCGCTGTACCTGCAAGCCTCCACATTCTCTCTCTCTCTCTTGGGACAACTCTCTATCTCTCTTTAAGAACTAATCACCCGCCGAGGATAAAGAGTAACAGGTACAGGGCTCAGTTGCCATGAATTGTTCTGGTTTTCAGAGAATCCTGAGCTGCTTTTAAAATATACGTCTCAGAATGTATGGTAAATGCCTCTCTCTCTGGATGTGGAGGATTCTCACCAAATCAATTGACCTATCATTCCTCGCATTTAGTTGCAGGGTCCCTCCCTACAGGTACACTTGCTCCTGAGCTGTTCCCTTTTTAACACTTGCCTCCGGAATAATAGCCTTTTTTGGGAAAGGTTTTTAAGCTTCTCCTACGACATAGTACTACACTTTCCCTGCCGTTCAAATTTGATCAATAGAGCAACTCACCGTCTGATTTTAGATCCGACATCTTCAAATATTTTATTTTTATTTATTTTTATACAAATTGTATGGATATGAAATTTAGTACGTATCATCTTCTCATTGGGCACACCTATAAAAAATGTTAAAAATAATTTTTCGTTAAAATGTCATGATCAAAATCCACTTTAAAATTCTTAGAGGTATTTAGATGATTTTATTTTATTGAAAATTTTTTGTTTTATTTTTTATTAATGCGAGTTTAATAGAGGATTGGACATACAAAATTTGGTGTCAAAATAATTTATAAAAAAAATATTAAAAATAAAATAGTATAAAGACATGACATTGTGGCAATCTTTAACTCTCCGTTATGAATGGAAAGTTGGATAAGAAGAAATATATAAATTTTGTGTTGTGGGTAAGCATTTCCTTTTTTTTTTCTTTTGAGCAATTGCCCTAGAATAATAGTTTCTCTCATCATTTATTGCCTCCAACTAATTCGTAGTGCTTTAAGAGTGTAGGCTAGTAAGGGACAGGGGGAAGATTTCCTTCACTCGCTCTATCTTGTTGCCTGACTTTCTAAGAGGATAAGTCACTTACGTAAAAATTGAACTGGCTTCGGAAACCGGCTAAGGGTTGAGTACGAATAATCGATAAACCTCGGTCAACCAGTGTAACCAAGTAGGTTCCAATCGGTCCTAAAAGTATTAAAAAAATATAAAAATTACAAAAAAAAGATGTCAAAGTAGTATATTTACAGAACGGTTTAAAAAAAAGCACCACCAATGAAGTTGAAAAGTAATTAAAAAAAAAAAAAATTTAAATAATGTAAAGTCATTTATGCCAAAACACTTTCGTTAAAAAGGAAAATTGTTCCATGCGGGTTGGTATGCATTTCTACGTATGTAAATCATAAAGTGTAAGGCAGGTGTTACATCTAAAAAAAATGGAAACTAACAGTCCAAATTTTTTTTAACTAAATAAATTAATTTTTTTACTATCTTTAGACCGAAAATTAATTTTAGAAAAAATAAAAAATACTTGACTAAACCTCTACTTAATTTTTTATCAAAATTGACCGTTTTTTATTTTTGTATTTTTGTGTCCGTACATAAATTATTCATTCTAACAAGAGTGTTTTTTGCAAGGAAAAAGATAAAGAAGAGAGAGGACGTGCTCACACTTTCGTCACCTCAGTTAAGCCGTGTTTTAACAGGCACTCAAGTTACTGCGAAATCTCTCTCACCATTATTCTTTTTCTCACTCCAAAAATAAAACCTTTCGCCATATGTGATGTTATGTTTTGAAATGTGGCACTCAACAACCAATGAATATCAATTATAAATGATGGGAACCTCAATAGAAACCCAAAAAACAGTTCGGACGTCTTTTCTTTTTTTCTTTCTTTTTTTTCTTTCTTTTTTTTTTTTCTTTTTTTTTTACAATGTTATGCTATTTTATTAATAGAAATGGTTTAAACATGAATCAAATCATCTGAAACTAAAAGACATCTTTCCTACGAGTTGTTGATGAAGTATAAAATTTACCGACAAACAATACCAACAAAATTAACCGTATTTTAGAGGAAAATAAAAATCGTAAAAAAAATCACAAAAATAAAGAACAAAATGCATAGATATGAGTATTCCAACATGAGATTATAAACACAAGAGAAAAAACAACACCCACAAAAAGACCTCTCTCTCTCTACGATATCAACGATCAACCTTTTTCATTAACAAAATTCAATACCCCTCTCCTCAATCCAATGCGGGGCTTCCCTTTTATACATTTACACCTTTCATTTGAAAACTCCCTACTAAAAGGAAGCCATTATCCAATATATGAAAATATGGGAAGCTTTTATCCCATAAAAAAGGAAATAATTTATTAAAGCATAGAATCTCACGTGACTCAAAAGATAATTCTTAATATATCTCCCTACTAAACATTAAAAAATGATAACTAATTAAACTAAATCTATGTTTACATTATTTCCATATCTTTCTAAAATAAATCTTTATATTCGTAAAAATTTGCTTACTAAATGAAAACCTTTTTATCCTACCCACGTTAATATTGATGCTAACTCTAAAACTGATCCAAAGATTTGCTCCAAGATTTACTACAATCGACTTTAAAGAAATATAACCACTTATCAAACACTAGATTGACTTTATCAAACTAAAGATTGTCTTGCCAAAACACGGAGTCAATCTATAAAGATGGACTTTATCAATTAAGCCAAAAAAAAACCATACTAATCTTATTTTTCAAAATTGATCCTAATAAAATAAAAATAAAAAATACACATAACTTCTAAAAATATAAATAACAAAAATAAAAATAAATTTTTAATCAACCAGATTTTGATTTGCTATCATTCTCTCCTGGTTGGAGAAAGCTCGACTTCAAGTTTTAAGATGTGAAAAAATCAAATTTTCTTCACATCCTTCTTCAACTCAATCTTCAATTCGAACATTATAAGCACAATCATGTGACCTGTCTCGGTCTTCAATTTGAACACTACAAACATGATCCTATAACATGGGGGTTATTGCGCTAAACAAACCATAACGATTGTACTTAGAAACTGACCTGTCTCGATCTTCAATTTGAACATTACAAACACGATCCTTCAATTTGAACGTTACAAACATGATCCTGTCACCTGTGGGTTATTGCAATGAATAAATTATAATGATTGTACTTAGAAACTGAGACACCCTCGAAGAAATGGTCATCGAATGTAGATTTTTCAGGCTCATGTACTTTCTGATATTGCTAAAACTTCACCTTGGGTAGCAAACTTCACCTCAAGCAGACCACGAATGCATCAATTTCTTCATCATACATCTCCATAGGCTGAATGCATCAGTTTCTTCATCATACATCTCCATAGGCTCGATCTCCTCTAGGATCAAATCGATATCTTGATACTTCACCTCTCTATCGATAAGAAAATTAGATATCATTATTGCCTCAAATCAAAATCTGGTTGATTAAAAATTTATTTTTATTTTTGTTATTTTTATTTTTAGAAGTTATGGATATTTTTTATTTTTATTTTATTTATTAGGATCGATTTTGAAAAATAGGATTTATTTTTTTGGTTTAATTGATAAAGTCCATCTTTATAGATTGACTCCGTGTATTTTTTCGAAAGATCATCTTTAGTTTGATAAAGTCAATCTAGAGTTTGATAAGTAGTTATATTTCCATAAAGTCTAATTGTAGTAAATTTTGGAGCAAATATTTGGATCGGCTTTATAGTTGGCTTCAAGATTAGCATGGGTAGGATAAAGGGGTTTTATGTTAGTAAGCAAATTTTTAGGAGCATAAAGATTTGTTTTAGAAAGATAGGGAAATAATCTAAATGTCGATTTAGTTTAATTAGTTATCCTTTTTTTATTTTTAGTAGGGAGATATATTAGGAGTTATCTTTTGAGTCACATGAGATTCTATGCTTGAATAAATTAATTAATTTTTTATGGGATAAAGGCTTCCCATATTTTCTTATATTGGATAATGGTTTCATTTTAGTAGGGAGTTGGTGTAAATGTATAAAAGGGAAGCCGTACAATATATTGAGGAGAGGGGAATTGAATTTTGTTAATGAAAAAAGATGTTGCTCTTTGGGGAATTGAATTTTTGTTAATGAAAAAGATGTTGATCTTTAAGATCATAGAGAGAGAGACGCCCCTTTGTGGGTGTTGTTTTTTTTTGTGTTTATGGACCCATGCTGAAATACTCATATCCATACATTTTATTCTTTCTTCTTGTGATTTTCTTCACAATTTTTATTTATCTCTAAAACAAGATTAATTTTGCTGATTTTGTTTGCTGGTAAATTTACTGTGTTAGGTGGTATCAGTGTCTAGATTCTTGTGCAATCGCATGCTCTTGACAAGGCATCATGGTTCGTGGACATCCTCTACAACAAGGTGCCAGGAATGAGCCGATCTAGCAAGAGCGGGACATCTGTGAGATAGAGTTCAAAATTTTGAGAAGGCAAGTAGAAGAGCTGACCTAGTGCTTGGTGTAAAATCCAGCCCCGACACATTATGATAATGGTAGTGAGTCGGAAGCTACTTTCGAAAATCCGTTCCAAGTACACGCTCCACATCAGGGGCCCCATATTTGGGATGACATATCTTAGTATTAAAGTCGATCTACCAGCTTTTGTAGAAGGATTGCAAGAGGAAGAATTTCTTGATTATATTGATTCCAACGAGCGCATCTTCAAATGCTAAGAGGTGCTCGATGATAGCAAGGTTAAGCTTGTAGCTATTAAGCTTAAGGGCCGTGCATCATCATGGTGGGAGCATTTGAAAAAGACTAGGGAAAAGGCAAGGAAAATCGAAAATCTCTGATTGGGAAAAGATGAAGAAAAAGTTAAGGGAGCAATTCTCGCCCTTTAACTATTCCCAAATGATATTTCAACGACTTTATACCCTTCGGAAATGGGGGTGGTCCGTTGATGATTATACTGAGGAGTTCTATCAACTAGTTACACGGAACAACTTGTCTGAAACTAAAGAGCAACAAGTTGCCCGATATATTACGGAACTATGCCAATCAATTCAGGATGTCCTAAGTTTATACTCTTTATGGACTGTATCAGAAGCCTATCAACGAGTTTTAACTGTAGGGAAGCAACAGTCCAGGAGTAGGGCTAGTACTGCCACGAGATGAGATTTGGGTCTCCAAACAGGCCGATTTCAAGATCGTGGTGCGAGGCCTAAAGAGGCACCATCT